AACAGAGAATAAACTGCCCAAATACCCTTAAACAAAGGAAAAGTATGTCCTTTATGAAGGCATAGAGCCTTTACTACATGAAAATGAAAATTAATGAATACACTGTGTACAGTAATTTACCTGATAAGACAGACCTCAGAAAAATACTTTATGAGGCATAAAGCTGTCTATAATGAAAATTAATTAACTAAGGATTTTTTTGCGCTGCCAGGGTGTGGCCGAGTTATCTGGACTGCCAGGTTATCGAGTGCCGAGTTTTCGAGACTCTACTGTATAGTATATTAGTATATCTCATGTAATTAGTATATTAGTATATCGCTATTAACCTACTTTGTGTTGAATTTTCATCGATGTTAAGCCTAACAAAAATTTTTAAAAAATAATAATCATCGTTATTGTATTGTTAAAAATTAGAAAATTAAACCTCGTTTAAATACTGGCTCCCTTTCATGGTCGAACCAGTGTTGCCAGCTAAAACACGTAAAAATAATATTAAATTAGCCAAGACATAGCCAAATATTATTGCGCCACATCACTAGCGGACATTTGAATTTGCCTACTACAACGCAGTCGATTAACCGATGTGACGGCTGATCAGGGTTCGGATAATCGATGCTCTACTGTAGAATAGCATGTAATTATTATATGTAGGAAATCAAAAAATCTTTAACTTGTTTTCCAGTTTAGTGATTTGCTTTTTGTCCTTATACTACAATAATTGAATATATGAGCACAAAGTTTTTGCTCTACGGAGAACTTATAAAACCTCCATAGAACCAAAACTTTGTGCTCACATATCCAATTATTGTATTCCAGATATTGTAATTTCTCACCTAATCCTCTATGGCTGATTATGTGAGGCACCTCTGTGTTCTGAACATAATTTTTATTTGAAAACATTTCACTTAAATGTCCATTGGTTATTAAGTCAACAATGAGTGATTACATGGAAGTTTTGTCTGTTTCATTTGTGTTCACTATAGAACAGTGAAACAGATACTTTAGATCACAGATATTTTCCACTGTAATTATTTCATCCAATAGTAAACGAAACTAAAATTGTACAATTTATAATTCTTCCAAAATTTCTGTACATACATTATTATTTTAATTTTATCATGATATTCTCTTCAATACTAATCATATAAAAAGATTTCTTTTTTCACCAGCTCAATAAAGTTTTCATCACAAGCCACCATAACTTTTAAATTGAAAATATTTCCTATTGACGATTGGTCAATAGGAAATATTTTCTGTTGTCTACCCCATACGTGCCTGTATCCATAAAAAAGTAGGAACAAGACCTACTCATTCTGTTCTGTGATTTAAACATTCATCTACATTCAATTTTTATTCATCGTTTATAACTTTGTTGAGCTTGAAGAAATCCATTTAATTCTGGACTAAAATAGTTGCTTAAAGATAAATCACATAATGTTGACATTGTACTGTTTCATTACAATTTTAAAATTATGACATTAAATTTTCTTAAAATTTGTAAAAAATAAGAATACTTACATTTGTAAAAAGTTTTGGTGTAAGAAATGCAGAAGCGGAATCACGTATACTTTTTCCATCACCAAGTTTACATCTCAGATAACCGTAAACATTCGCTCCATTTAAGCATAACCCAACACAATCCACCAACTGTATGAAAAAATAGTAAATATTTATGACATTCAAAGTAATTTGTACATTAAATTTGTAATTGATTTAAAGATACTTACCAGCCATTTTAATCTAGCACCAAATAATGCAAAAAGAAGGAACACAAACCATAATATTGGTGTTACTATGAGAGAAATCCAAAACACTTGGGATTCGATAACATTTGTGACTCTAATGTCATCTTTCTGAAAATAATAATTATAAATGTCATTGTTTTGAAAGATTTTAATTATAATTTAAGATATTAAATGACAAACCTTTCTAGATTCAAAAACCCAGTGACTCTGCCCGTTGTCATCTATGTAATTCCACCACCGTAAACCCACTAGTAATCTTCCTGTGACATTCTTTACAGTCCAAAAATCCATTGATAATAATAATATAATAAAAACAAAACACGTTACGAAACTATCACTGAACCAACCACAAAATAAATAAATAAGCAAGGCTGAAACTCGAAATAAAAGCTGGAAAAGCACAGCCAGAGGATGCCTTGAAAAAAGTAACAAAGAGTATTAACAATTACATAAATTACAAATACATTCAAGTATGTTTTATTATTACCTTAAGCGTTTCTGATGCTGCTGCTGCAAAGCTTCATCTCCAAAGCGAATTGCAATATCATCAGGATTTTCCATTCTAGATATTAGCCTTAAAATAACATAGTTATATTAATATTAAATAATTAAATACTTTAACAGAATTGTTTTCAATGATATTTAAATAAAATTCTGTTCAATTACACGCCATTTAAAACTTCAAAGTATTTTATATGAAAATAAGTTGTTATTCTGAAGAAAATCTCAATTATTCTCTTAAATATACGTTTCTTTTAAGAATTAAAAACTGAATTCATAAATATGGGGTGGCCTAAAAGTGAGTTAACAAAAATTAATCTGAGAGTCTGGTTTGAAATAATGAGATATTGTTATATGTGATTTGGTTGTTTCATTGAAAACAACTGAATCTACAACACTAGCAACTGTAATTTTGAAATAATTCTCTCTCTCTATCAGTTACATAAAACACGACTTGTGAAGCTTCTGACTTAAATTGTTTAATACAAGTACAGTCATACTTTGATGACCACTGAGGAAACCATACAAAATTGCAATTGTGAGTCCTGACTGTTAGTTAAAGGTTGTTTTTGTTAAACATTCTTGACGAATGGTCATTCTTTAAAAGTGGCTGTTATTGGAAGATGGCCATTATTAGAGTTATATAATATTTGTATTAAATAATCATTCTCTCTTTCTGTCTCAAGATCATCAAAACCATCTTTTTAATCATACGTCTGGGGTTTGGCCAAGCCCACGACAGAGCAACTAAGTATTAGGGATGGCCCACAAATGGATCTGGGACACATTAAAAATTGCCAAGACTTCCAATCCAAACCTAAAAAGCAGGATATCTTCAAAATCTAATTTTAGTTAAAAAAAAAAACTCAAGCCTTATTCATCAGAATCAACAAAAGAAAACAATGGAGAATAACAAGAGTCTTCCTTACTGTTATTCAAAACAAAGAACTGAAATACAAAAATCATTTTTAAATCATTAAAATTTTAAATTTCCCATGAATTTAAACAGATAAAAAGAAAGAATGATCCAAAAAGAAGTCAGCATTGAATTAAGATAATATAATTTTAATATATAAACAAACATTTTAAAAAATTTATCTCAGGATGAAGCCAAAAGTTTAAAAGATAGTTTACAGTCCGACAATGGCACAGAGTTTCAAGATCTCTAGCCATCACAGGGGTCAATGAGAACATCAGTTTAATAGTCAAACTTTGGCCAGCAACCAAGTCGACATAGCAGTGATATCATCAATGTACATCGAAGCAAAACATCATTCAACTCCAAAACTTGTTGCTAGACCAGAAGTGTACATTCACCGTTCGGCGTGAAGTGGAAAATGACAAATGTAGCAGAACTCCATCTTAGCACCATGCTGCCACCAAACTATAAACAAGGCTTCATCTACAGACAATTCTAATGATTATAAATCAAATCATTAAAATAAAATATTCCATTTTATAAAGACACATTCTAATTTTAACATAAAATATTGAAATTTCTAAAAAATTTTAACATTTGACAATAAAAAAAATAAGTTAACAAAAATTATTCAGAAATTTAAGAATTTACAAAAAGAAATACTATAGAATCATATAACAGGTTTTCAAATAAATTCTCAAATAAAAATGAATCAGAATTGACATCTGGATATCCAATAATAAAACTTTACATTGCAATAAAAATACATATAACAGACAAAAGATAAAATATTTCTAATAAAATAAATTAATTTTATAAGTAAATCTTAGATTTAGGTATTAAGTTTAACATCTCAATGATTAAGATCGATGCTATAACTATCAGTCACATTCAATGAGAATATAAATATACATTTCAGTGACTAATTTCATTGATTAATAGGTTTATAGATAATATTCTGTCAAAATTATGATATTCTGTCAAAATTTCTGCTTATTGTGTAATTAGATGTGTTTCTTATCAACAATGAATAACATCTATAGCAGCATTTCTCAATCTGAATTACACAAAGCATTTTCAAGAACACACACAATATAAATATAATTTTACATCAGTGATTTTTTTTCAATTTAGAATAATAAATTATTCATTTACGATTCAAACTTTTCTAGATCAAAGTAAATAAAAGCAGTCAACTTTAATTTTTTACAGAGTTTGTAATATTTTACACATTTATGAAATTCTAGTTCAGTTACTTTAATATTTCCTTTCTCTTGAGCAACTTCACATCTACATTATTAAAATAAGCACAACAGTACTTTACATTGCAAATAAATAATTAAAGAATTAATAATTACAGTGTAGCCGAGATGAAAAATCACAAGAATTGCACTCTTACCAATCGAAAAGAGGTTTCGGAATTTAAATATTTAAATAATCTTAGCATGTTTCACAACATTATTGTTACTAAGATAGCTCTTAGAACAACTATTCACATTTATTCCCTTACAAAAACTTTTAAAAGATTCTTTAGTAATTCCAAAACTTTATGGCATTATTTTGTTACACCATACGAACTGCCAAAACGTAATGCAAGGCTAATTTAACAATTACATATAAAGGGATCACGATCCAATTTTTATTTTGGCAGTTTGTCCAGCACCACCAATGAAATCAAACAGATGTAAAAGCAGTTATTTTATTATTTTAATATTTAGCTCTCGTATACCCGAATATAAATAAAAACTCAAATGCATTCAAGTATGACCGTTAACTCTTAAAAATCCAATAATGAGGAAATTTTACAATTTAACATCTCCTGATCTCCAAAGATTCGATCCGCCACCCGTCCTAAATCTTTATTCATACGGTTATGGTGTAGTCTTAGCAAATTACTAACCGTGCCAAGAAAAAATCATCAAAAAGCAATATTTGGTAACATTTACGACTTCCTTTTCTTTTCCCGTCACTCTGTAAATCGTTCTTCAATCTCCGGATGTCCAGGAGGATTCAGCAAGATCTGTAACATAGCGAGCAAACTGTGAAAACTGGTGGAATCCCCAGAAAGTTTCACCGAAAAGTAGAGTTCTGAGAATCCCATTCCAACCGGAACAGAGATCTGCCGTCTCTACGGCACGGATTCATCCGGTCGCATCTATAACTTCTCTAAAGTACATACACAATATTTAGTATATATTATAATGGTAAATGATAACAGGACATAAAACTTCCCATATATAATGAGTAGCTTAATGATAATCCAATTCCTGAAAAATGAATAAAATTCTTGTTGATGTGGTAGTTACTTTTAAGTACTTTACAACTATTTAAACATAAAAGCAAATGACCTAAAAGTAACTTCTACTAAAACCTCTTCATAAGCATTCTATGCAAGACTCATTCTATTAAATATCAAGTATTATAATCATAAATTCCATAATATTTATAAAAGAAATCAAATTTAATAAACTTAAACATGTCTCTGCACACTCTGATGAAATTCTCGCCATACGTACCCTTAACGAATTTCAAGCAAAGTCGTACATCTGTATTTCTACTTCCTGGCCGCCATTACTGTTTACGTCGCTAATGCTACGTTGACAGACGATCTATTCGTTTTATTTTTTATTAAAACAAATGGAACAATTATAGAATATTAATAAAGTTCTGACTAAAATATATTGATTAATTTTTATTTCTATGCATTACTCTGTTTTTATCTTACGTCGTTTTCAATTAAAAAAAATTGTTTCTTATTACAATCACTAGATGGCGATAACTTCTTGTTCGTCTGTTCGGTTTTAATTTCGTCGGCTGAAAATTTTACAAAAATATAAATTATTAAAACTCTGAAATATGTTAAGTTAAAAATGTGCTCGTAACATAAATTTTATTCTTTGGCCAGCAACCAAGTCGACATAGCAGTGATATCATCAATGTACATCGAAGCAAAACATCATTCAACTCCAAAACTTGTTGCTAGACCAGAAGTGTACNACTGGAATTCTTTCGGATGATTGACTTTCGGAAAATCGACGCTCTACTGTATTATTAAATAATAAACTTACAGAATCTTTTAAGAAAGACTACGATTGCTCTTCCTTGTCAACAGCATACTTATCTAACATAAACTGAATTGATATGATGCATAGAACTTCACATTAAACACTCATTATTAACTGGTATGCAAAATTTAAGCAAAGATTGTTTTTTTGCCGTAACTGCAAGACATGTCACCTGGAAAGCACGAAATTCAGAATACAGAGAGAGTATTTTGTACTTAAACTGTGAAGAACACATTAGTGCAAAAATGAATAGAATACATACAGTATGGAATCAAAACCTGTTTATTGTAGTCTTTCACTGTGCATGCTGACCATGCATTTTGCATGCCTTTGCACTACCAATGATGTCTTCTTCCTGCATATGAATCACCTTTCTACTGAATTGGATGTTCACTGTACTGATTGTAACAACCCTCTTCTACAATTTCATGGCTGTCTGCTTATAAATTACATTGTTGCTTAAGTTTTGCACGCCAGTATAGAGCAAAAGAAAGATTACTATCTCCAACAAAACAATATGCCCCATAAAAATGAATGAAAAAAAAATACAATTAAATACATATAAAGTACAATCTTGGCAATCTGGCCACTTGGTAGTTTGATATACAGTAGACCCCCCTATAAAATGGGTTTATATAGTTCGGACTCCTATATGACTGTGAAAAAATTGCGACCGTATTCGTATAAACACGCTAAAAGAGACTAGTATAATTCAGTAAAACGTCATCTCTGACTCGTGTCGCGACAGGATTGGTCAAATCTAGACCAATAGCAGATATTGCACAAACCATTGAGTTTAAACGAGAAGCGGAACTACTAAAAACCATTTATTATTTAACATCCATAAAAAATTATATTTATATTAATGATGTCTCCAAAGTTCGGCAAAGTTTTTGCAGAAAAATAATTTATCAGGAAGCACGCGAGCGCCATTCGATGCACCGCTCCACGACGAAAACAAGCTTAAGCAATGGCATCGTTGAACGGTGCACACTCGGTAAGTAATCCTACAATTTTTTGTTTATAGCATAGTTTATATGGATTATTCCCAAAAAATTATACGTATTTTGGAAATGTTGAGTCGAATTAGTCTAGAATCGATTAATTTTATGGAAGAAAACCTTTCAAACAGCTGTAGTCGGTAAACTGCATATGTGCCGGGCTGTGATTGGCTCATGTATTTAAGGCCTCGTAGAACATCAATTTCATAAAGAATGGAACGTATCTACCATGTTATAGGGAGGTTGACTGTATCCAGTAATTCTGCATTAGTCAATCTCAGTATTACTGGCACCATTTCTGTGTCATAGACAAGCTTCCTGGCTTGAGTACCCACTAAATTTAAACACTATCACAAGAATGTGGCATGATATCAAACACTTGAACACAATATTAAAGATTGCTAGGCTCAACATCATAGGCTGCTCAAAAAAAAGGTACACTATCTTATTAAAGATAAATCACATAATGTTGACATAATACAACACTAGAAATATAAATATCAGTCATCAAAGTTTTCCATCAAAAATATTGTACCTCCCAGTAAATTTAGTGGGAATCCACGAACTTGACAGCATTGATTAAAGGTGATAACAGCATGCTCAAATGTTTTGATTAGTATTCCAACTTGTGTTTTGCTGCAACATTAATAGTTGACTCCACGCCATCAAATTTATTTACATGCTACTGAATTCATTTTCCAATAATTAGGCAATCTTCTTAATCCAATGACTTTTCCATCCCACACGTCAGATTACCAAGTATTAAAATAGTTAATACAGTAGAACATCGATTATCCGACTCAATTGGGAATTGGGGTTGGTCGGATAACCGAAAAATATGAAAAAATACATTATTAGTACAGTAGAGTCTTGAAAACTCGGCCTAATGTGGACTGAAGGGTGGCTGAGTTTGTGAAAATGCCAGGTTATCGGGAATGAGGTTAAAAAAGAATAAGTACAAGTGTTTCCTAGAAAATACTGTACTGTACTTGTATGTATTGTTTACTTGAGAATACAACAGAGAATAAACTGCCCAAATACCCTTAAACAAAGGAAAAGTACGTCCTTTATGAAGTCCTTGAGCCTTTACTACATGAAAATGAAAATTAATGAATACACTATTATGTACAGTAATTTACCTGATAAGACAAACCTCAGAAAAATACTTTATGAGGCATAAAGCTGTCTATAATGAAAATTAATTAACTAAGGATTTTTTTGCGCTGCCAGGGTGTGGCCGAGTTATCTGGACTGCCAGGTTATCGAGTGCCGAGTTTTCGAGACTCTACTGTATAGTATATTAGTATATCTCATGTAATTAGTATATTAGTATATCGCTATTAACCTACTTTGTGTTGAATTTTCATCGATGTTAAGCCTAACAAAAATTTTTAAAAAATAATAATCATCGTTATTGTATTGTTAAAAATTAGAAAATTAAACCTCGTTTAAATACTGGCTCCCTTTCATGGTCGAACCAGTGTTGCCAGCTAAAACACGTAAAAATAATATTAAATTAGCCAAGACATAGCCAAATATTATTGCGCCACATCACTAGCGGACATTTGAATTTGCCTACTACAACGCAGTCGATTAACCGATGTGACGGCTGATCAGGGTTCGGATAATCGATGCTCTACTGTAGAATAGCATGTAATTATTATATGTAGGAAATCAAAAAATCTTTAACTTGTTTTCCAGTTTAGTGATTTGCTTTTTGTCCTTATACTACAATAATTGAATATATGAGCACAAAGTTTTTGCTCTACGGAGAACTTATAAAACCTCCATAGAACCAAAACTTTGTGCTCACATATCCAATTATTGTATTCCAGATATTGTAATTTCTCACCTAATCCTCTATGGCTGATTATGTGAGGCACCTCTGTGTTCTGAACATAATTTTTATTTGAAAACATTTCACTTAAATGTCCATTGGTTATTAAGTCAACAATGAGTGATTACATGGAAGTTTTGTCTGTTTCATTTGTGTTCACTATAGAACAGTGAAACAGATACTTTAGATCACAGATATTTTCCACTGTAATTATTTCATCCAATAGTAAACGAAACTAAAATTGTACAATTTATAATTCTTCCAAAATTTCTGTACATACATTATTATTTTAATTTTATCATGATATTCTCTTCAATACTAATCATATAAAAAGATTTCTTTTTTCACCAGCTCAATAAAGTTTTCATCACAAGCCACCATAACTTTTAAATTGAAAATATTTCCTATTGACGATTGGTCAATAGGAAATATTTTCTGTTGTCTACCCCATACGTGCCTGTATCCATAAAAAAGTAGGAACAAGACCTACTCATTCTGTTCTGTGATTTAAACATTCATCTACATTCAATTTTTATTCATCGTTTATAACTTTGTTGAGCTTGAAGAAATCCATTTAATTCTGGACTAAAATAGTTGCTTAAAGATAAATCACATAATGTTGACATTGTACTGTTTCATTACAATTTTAAAATTATGACATTAAATTTTCTTAAAATTTGTAAAAAATAAGAATACTTACATTTGTAAAAAGTTTTGGTGTAAGAAATGCAGAAGCGGAATCACGTATACTTTTTCCATCACCAAGTTTACATCTCAGATAACCGTAAACATTCGCTCCATTTAAGCATAACCCAACACAATCCACCAACTGTATGAAAAAATAGTAAATATTTATGACATTCAAAGTAATTTGTACATTAAATTTGTAATTGATTTAAAGATACTTACCAGCCATTTTAATCTAGCACCAAATAATGCAAAAAGAAGGAACACAAACCATAATATTGGTGTTACTATGAGAGAAATCCAAAACACTTGGGATTCGATAACATTTGTGACTCTAATGTCATCTTTCTGAAAATAATAATTATAAATGTCATTGTTTTGAAAGATTTTAATTATAATTTAAGATATTAAATGACAAACCTTTCTAGATTCAAAAACCCAGTGACTCTGCCCGTTGTCATCTATGTAATTCCACCACCGTAAACCCACTAGTAATCTTCCTGTGACATTCTTTACAGTCCAAAAATCCATTGATAATAATAATATAATAAAAACAAAACACGTTACGAAACTATCACTGAACCAACCACAAAATAAATAAATAAGCAAGGCTGAAACTCGAAATAAAAGCTGGAAAAGCACAGCCAGAGGATGCCTTGAAAAAAGTAACAAAGAGTATTAACAATTACATAAATTACAAATACATTCAAGTATGTTTTATTATTACCTTAAGCGTTTCTGATGCTGCTGCTGCAAAGCTTCATCTCCAAAGCGAATTGCAATATCATCAGGATTTTCCATTCTAGATATTAGCCTTAAAATAACATAGTTATATTAATATTAAATAATTAAATACTTTAACAGAATTGTTTTCAATGATATTTAAATAAAATTCTGTTCAATTACACGCCATTTAAAACTTCAAAGTATTTTATATGAAAATAAGTTGTTATTCTGAAGAAAATCTCAATTATTCTCTTAAATATACGTTTCTTTTAAGAATTAAAAACTGAATTCATAAATATGGGGTGGCCTAAAAGTGAGTTAACAAAAATTAATCTGAGAGTCTGGTTTGAAATAATGAGATATTGTTATATGTGATTTGGTTGTTTCATTGAAAACAACTGAATCTACAACACTAGCAACTGTAATTTAGAAATAATTCTCTCTCTCTATCAGTTACATAAAACACGACTTGTGAAGCTTCTGACTTAAATTGTTTAATACAAGTACAGTCATACTTTGATGACCACTGAGGAAACCATACAAAATTGCAATTGTGAGTCCTGACTGTTAGTTAAAGGTTGTTTTTGTTAAACATTCTTGACGAATGGTCATTCTTTAAAAGTGGCTGTTATTGGAAGATGGCCATTATTAGAGTTATATAATATTTGTATTAAATAATCATTCTCTCTTTCTGTCTCAAGATCATCAAAACCATCTTTTTAATCATACGTCTGGGGTTTGGCCAAGCCCACGACAGAGCAACTAAGTATTAGGGATGGCCCACAAATGGATCTGGGACACATTAAAAATTGCCAAGACTTCCAATCCAAACCTAAAAAGCAGGATATCTTCAAAATCTAATTTTAGTTAAAAAAAAAAACTCAAGCCTTATTCATCAGAATCAACAAAAGAAAACAATGGAGAATAACAAGAGTCTTCCTTACTGTTATTCAAAACAAAGAACTGAAATACAAAAATCATTTTTAAATCATTAAAATTTTAAATTTCCCATGAATTTAAACAGATAAAAAGAAAGAATGATCCAAAAAGAAGTCAGCATTGAATTAAGATAATATAATTTTAATATATAAACAAACATTTTAAAAAATTTATCTCAGGATGAAGCCAAAAGTTTAAAAGATAGTTTACAGTCCGACAATGGCACAGAGTTTCAAGATCTCTAGCCATCACAGGGGTCAATGAGAACATCAGTTTAATAGTCAAACTTTGGCCAGCAACCAAGTCGACATAGCAGTGATATCATCAATGTACATCGAAGCAAAACATCATTCAACTCCAAAACTTGTTGCTAGACCAGAAGTGTACATTCACCGTTCGGCGTGAAGTGGAAAATGACAAATGTAGCAGAACTCCATCTTAGCACCATGCTGCCACCAAACTATAAACAAGGCTTCATCTACAGACAATTCTAATGATTATAAATCAAATCATTAAAATAAAATATTCCATTTTATAAAGACACATTCTAATTTTAACATAAAATATTGAAATTTCTAAAAAATTTTAACATTTGACAATAAAAAAAATAAGTTAACAAAAATTATTCAGAAATTTAAGAATTTACAAAAAGAAATGCTATAGAATCATATAACAGGTTTTCAAATAAATTCTCAAATAAAAATGAATCAGAATTGACATCTGGATATCCAATAATAAAACTTTACATTGCAATAAAAATACATATAACAGACAAAAGATAAAATATTTCTAATAAAATAAATTAATTTTATAAGTAAATCTTAGATTTAGGTATTAAGTTTAACATCTCAATGATTAAGATCGATGCTATAACTATCAGTCACATTCAATGAGAATATAAATATACATTTCAGTGACTAATTTCATTGATTAATAGGTTTATAGATAATATTCTGTCAAAATTATGATATTCTGTCAAAATTTCTGCTTATTGTGTAATTAGATGTGTTTCTTATCAACAATGAATAACATCTATAGCAGCATTTCTCAATCTGAATTACACAAAGCATTTTCAAGAACACACACAATATAAATATAATTTTACATCAGTGATTTTTTTTCAATTTAGAATAATAAATTATTCATTTACGATTCAAAATTTTCTAGATCAAAGTAAATAAAAGCAGTCAACTTTAATTTTTTACAGAGTTTGTAATATTTTACACATTTATGAAATTCTAGTTCAGTTACTTTAATATTTCCTTTCTCTTGAGCAACTTCACATCTACATTATTAAAATAAGCACAACAGTACTTTACATTGCAAATAAATAATTAAAGAATTAATAATTACAGTGTAGCCGAGATGAAAAATCACAAGAATTGCACTCTTACCAATCGAAAAGAGGTTTCGGAATTTAAATATTTAAATAATCTTAGCATGTTTCACAACATTATTGTTACTAAGATAGCTCTTAGAACAACTATTCACATTTATTCCCTTACAAAAACTTTTAAAAGATTCTTTAGTAATTCCAAAACTTTATGGCATTATTTTGTTACACCATACGAACTGCCAAAACGTAATGCAAGGCTAATTTAACAATTACATATAAAGGGATCACGATCCAATTTTTATTTTGGCAGTTTGTCCAGCACCACCAATGAAATCAAACAGATGTAAAAGCAGTTATTTTATTATTTTAATATTTAGCTCTCGTATACCCGAATATAAATAAAAACTCAAATGCATTCAAGTATGACCGTTAACTCTTAAAAATCCAATAATGAGGAAATTTTACAATTTAACATCTCCTGATCTCCAAAGATTCGATCCGCCACCCGTCCTAAATCTTTATTCATACGGTTATGGTGTAGTCTTAGCAAATTACTAACCGTGCCAAGAAAAAATCATCAAAAAGCAATATTTGGTAACATTTACGACTTCCTTTTCTTTTCCCGTCACTCTGTAAATCGTTCTTCAATCTCCGGATGTCCAGGAGGATTCAGCAAGATCTGTAACAGAGCGAGCAAACTGTGAAAACTGGTGGAATCCCCAGAAAGTTTCACCGAAAAGTAGAGTTCTGAGAATCCCATCCCAACCGGAACAGAGATCTGCCGTCTCTACGGCACGGATTCATGCCGTCGCATCTATAACTTCTCTAAAGTACATACACAATATTTAGTATATATTATAATGGTAAATGATAACAGGACATAAAACTTCCCATATTTAATGAGTAGCTTAATGATAATCCAATTCCTGAAAAATGAATAAAATTCTTGTTGATGTGGTAGTTACTTTTAAGTACTTTACAACTATTTAAACATAAAAGCAAATGACCTAAAAGTAACTTCTACTAAAACCTCTTCATAAGCATTCTATGCAAGACTCATTCTGTTAAATATCAAGTATTATAATCATAAATTCCGTAATATTTATAAAAGAAATCAAATTTAATAAACTTAAACATGTCTCTGCACACTCTGATGTAATTCTCGCTATACGTACCCTTAACGAATTTCAAGCAAAGTTGTACATCTGTATTTCTACTTCGTGGCCGCCATTACTGTTTACGTCGTTAATGCTACGTTGACAGACGATCTATTCGTTTTATTTTTTATTAAAACAAATGGAACAATTATAGAATATTAATAAAGTTCTGACTAAAATATATTGATTAATTTTTATTTCTATGCATTACTCTGTTTTTATCTTACGTCGTTTTCAATTAAAAAAAATTGTTTCTTATTACAATCACTAGATGGCGATAACTTCTTGTTCGTCTGTTCGGTTTTAATTTCGTCGGCTGAAAATTTTACAAAAATATAAATTATTAAAACTCTGAAATATGTTAAGTTAAAAATGTGCTCGTAACATAAATTTTATTCGATTTAATAATACGTATTATATTTCCATTTGTATTAATATATGCATATATAGTTTATATATAATTAATTGAATGCATATAATTTAGTTATAATTAGTTATAATTTTATATATTTAATTTTAATTTAATTACAACGGCTTTTTTAAACACTTTTCGTCTGTGGGTAACAAGAGGGCCTCTTTTTTTTTTTTTAGCAAACCCGTTACTGATTTGGCCGAGCCCATCATGGGACGGCATGTGTCGGGACCCTATGTATCTGGAACAGACAATTTCCGAAAAATTCCTGAGGTTTTCGACCTATTAATTTATGAATAAATTTAAATTCAAAATCTTAAAGTTTTAATTTGCAAATATCAATCGTTTTTACATAAAACAACGAAATTGTCAAATTGCTCATCCAACTGTATTAAGCCGCTTCGACCGGGCAACCCGCTCCACGTCATGACATTGAATTTCCGGCTTCGAATTCATCCAAGAAATTATTACAAATAAAATTTCGAGAATTTTCAATGAATTAAAAGTCCAGGAATTTCCAAATTGCGTTATTTTCTTTATAACTATCGAGTGGATTTTGCGAAAGTGAGTATTGTATCATACAATTGTAATAGTTTGGAGGGAAAAAAATTAATTGTTTTATCAATTACTTAAAGAAAACAAATAAATAAACTAAAATAAACACTTTAAAATGTTTAAAACTATATCAATTATATTAGTAGAAATGTTCTTCAACAAAAGTCTACCATAACTGTTTCATTATAAAAAGAAAGGAAGAAAAGCTTCCATTTTAATTTTGAAAGAAAGTGAAAATACTATTTTCACTCTGGACAGACTTTATTTTCTCTCGATAAACACTCCTAATAGTTTCTATTTCTAGGAAATAGCGCGTTACCGATCCACATTATACTAAAAAGTTGCTTATCCCTCAATGTAGGGTGAGTCAAATTGATTATATAAAAAATTGCTGCGAGAAAATATCTCAATTATAAAATTGTAATGGGAACGAGTTACGAAAACTGATTTTTCCTAGTGACTTGAGAGTAAAATTGTCGAGCCCAAGGTAATTGTGAATGATTTGCCTTCCACTCCATGAAAATTGGTACTAACAGATTTCGTCTTCCGCGTCTTTATGTATTTCGGGCCATCACACTTTCGTTGTTAGTCATTATTCTTATCCTTTTTAGTAACCAGAATACACTAGTTTTCGAAGTGTTAAGATACAACTCATAACAGAATAATGCCAATGTTCCATTTGAATAGTTTCTTCTAAACATTTTTTTTATTTCCATAATAGAACTTTTTCATTTTAATCCCATCCAAAAATGAATATTTTCTCAAGAGTGTTTCGGCATCTTAAATGATAGGGATAAGGCAACGCAACACGCGGGCAATTTACTATAGAAGGATGCCACCCGGGAATACTTTAGCCCTTATTTAAATGTTAGTACGTGAATAAAGTCCGGAAAATTTCATGTGGTCAGCCCCTTTGGAGCGCGAATCTGCAACCAGTGTTCGGTGGTTTTATCCACTGGATACTTCTTTTATACTCTTTCCGCTCTGTGGGTACTAAGAGGGCCTCTTATAGCAGGACCACTATGTGTTCGGCCAGACCCACAATGGGGCGGCTGGGTGGTGAGGGACGGGGTCCGACATATCCGAACGGACCACCCCCGAAAAATTCCAGGGGATTCTTTGACCCGTCTGGATTCGTTTCCGGGTCCTCCAGGAAGGTAGGCTGCCACCTTGACCGCTCGGCCATCCGGCCGCTTCCACTGGGTATTAGTGGGCCCAACATCATAGATGATCGGGATAATTCTAGCACAACGTATAATGAGAATATTATTTTCAGCAACCATTTCAAATTCCAGAAGAAAATATTAATGGCCTGGATAATCAGGTCGACAAAAGACATCAAATTTGGTAATTTTGATAACATGATCTTGTAATTATGTCATGCAATATAAATCATTAGACAAATCTTGATATTTTACATAAGGCATTTCAGACAAGGTATTTTCAACTTAGCCAGAGTCAATTGAAAATTAGTGAAACGAATCAAACATCAACTATGACGAAATAAAGGGATTTACAGTACTACCAATTAGAGTTTTAAATTATGTCAGACATAGTAGTGTATTCAAGGAAGAGCATAGAAGAATGACATTATTTTAGTATTTTTCTCACTGGAACTGAAGAAATCGATGATTTATGATTCTTCAAGTTAAATGTATTAAAGGAAAGAACAATATGGAAGATAGTTTACCTCGTAACATAACCTAAACACAAATCTTTAACACTAAACCGATCTAAAGAGAACACCGAAAAAGGAATATGTCACGTCAAGTATGTTGTAGATTACGTAATTTGATACACTATAACCTTGAATGACAGAAACAGCAATGAGTAAACTGCTGCAACTTCAGAATATTATTTTCTCGTAAGATAAAAAGAAAAAGAACTTTCTGAAAAAAAGCATAAAGTTATTTCGGATAAAAATACTGTCCATAATTGAATAGTTTACTTTGTACTATTAAGATGCTACTCACGATAGGCCAGGAATTTTTCGGAGTGATATGTGTCCCAGATATATCAATTCTCATCCCTCAAGAATTGGTCATTCCCATTGTGAATTCCGCCAGGCCCACAATGGGGTGGCCGGGTAGTGACGTATAGACCCATATATCCGGGACAGACCGCCCCCATAACAAAATTGCTGTTTGGAAGATCTACGTTTTCTTAGAAGTTTTAATTTTACTTCAAATAACTTCAAATAATTTTTTACTGATTCCTAAATATTTTTGTAATTGCTTAACTGTGACGAAAACAATTACAATGCATTAATACAGACTACATCCTCAGTGGCGTAGCGAACATAACTGGCACCCGGGGCACGACACTTTATTGGCGCTCCTCCCCTCTCCCCCTCCAGAAACACATAGTGCATGATACACCCCCTTGCACCTCCCCTCGCTACGCCACTGTACATCCTGTACAGTCGCTAATACTGTATATACAGTGTTAGCGATTGGATCGAGCCGCGCGCCTGGTGGCAAATATCAATACTAACAACAATATACTAATGACTCTTGTTAAAACAAGATACAGAAGGGTATTGTTATGCTTCTATATCCGAGTTCTTAATCCTGTAGCCTATTTTAACAATAGTCATCCTGGAACTGATGCATTAAAATATAAAGCATTTTTCGCAGTGTGAAATTCCTCCCGGACAATGGGCTCAAGGCTAAAATGTAAGATGTGTCTGGGAAGAGAGGATGTCTGGTCATTTTTTCATCTCCAAGACTCCAATTTAATTTAATAACTTTTCTGCTTATTATGGTTGACGTGTAAATAATTCAAGTTTACAATAAAAGCATTGATTTACCGTGTAAAGTAAACCAGATTTCCTAATAACTTAGTTTTATTTAATGAGTAAAACACGTGTCCTATACTATTGTCTATTGTCCTACATTATGGAGTAGTTTTCAGTTTTCAATCGGTGGCCATCCGATTACCGGGAGACGTTGCAGTGAAGCATTTATATAACAAATGTCTCATTTTTAGTCTGATTATGTGTTGTTATATACACGTAATCAGACAGATAACTGTATAAAAATGAGACATTATTTATATGTTATATTATAATAACAAATGTGACACATACCTGCACTGTAGTGATAAATATAACCAATGCTAATTCAAAATATCTCGTCCAATAATTAGTTAGGAATGCTGAAATAATTCTGTATTACTTTCATAAAATATAAATTTGAATACATAATTAGAATAAATTATTTTATAAATATTATATTTGCTTTTTTAACTCTTGTTAAGCCCCGTCCCACACCAACCAGGCCACCCCATTGTGCGCTTGACCGAATCCATAATGAGATTGCTAAAAGAGGCCCTTTTAGTGCTAACAGGGCGAAAAGAGTTAAAAAAGCAAATTCGCCCTGCGAGCACTAAAAGGGCCTCTTTTAGCAATCTCATTATGGATTCGGTCAAGCGCACAATGGGGTGGCCTGGTTGGTGTGGGACGGGGCTTAATAAATCCGGACGAACCACCACCCGCCATTTCAGTGATTATTCGGTGCCCACTTCCGATGATTATAATACAGTC